TAATTATGTACTATCATATGTTGAATACTTTTTGTTAACGATTTTGAGCAAACTTTGCTCTTTTTTAATTTTTTATGATCATCAAAGTTAAAAAGACTAATTTTCCCACGTTAAGAAAATGATTTTCTGTTTTATTAATAAAATTTTCAATATTTTTTCGTCGCATATGAGAAGCATCTTCAATCAAATCTTTCCAAACTTATGGTTTTTTTGGAAGCTTCTACTAAGCTTCTTTTGTTATGAATAGAAAGTTGTCACATGAATTTGAATATTCAAAATTCCTGTCCACCATTCATGACAACTTAATATATTCATAAAAAATCAAATGAAATGAAAATTCTTCTTTCTCATGTAAACAAATCATAATTTAATATTTGCTTAGGGTCTGTTTGGGGCAGCTGCTGCTTATCCAGTTTATCCATATAAGCAGCTTATTCTGATAAGCTACTGATCAACAGCTGATCTGGATAAGTTGGCCGACTGTTTGATTTGAGCGTTTGAAAAATAGATGATTTGCAACTGTTTGTGAATAAATGACCATTCTGCCCCTGAACTGAATAAGCTGTTAAGCTGTATGGTTTATGCGGTTTGCAAACAGCTGAGAATCAGCTGTTTGTAGAAAAATGACTATTTTGGTCACGCGCAGTGATGCTGTTTGCAACAGTAATGTAATGAAAACACATTCAATATACTAAAATCCAAAAAACACTTCATAACAGTTTAAAAAAAAGATATACTTCTCACTCAAAAGTAACTATCTACGAACCTATTAAAAAACAAAAATCATAAGAAAATTACAACTACAATTATAATAATATTTATTTTAAAATGTAGAAGGGGCATGCCTGGAGCAACGTTCTCCGATTGGGATGACGTCAAACCCCGAGCAACATTGTTAGTGATAAGAGAAGTTTTATTGAAATAAAAAATGCAAAAGAACTAGCCATAACACGTGATAAAGTGGCCTGAAGTTACTTTTTGTCCCTAAATCGTTAGAAACAGTCTTAAGCAGGTCAGATAGGTAAGATTAGTTATGTGAAAAGGCCTTAGTAATAAGCAGTTTTCAACAACAACCATATAATAAATGATTCCTATCAGCAGTTCTTTAATTGAAACTATAGGCAAAGTAGTACATCCAAGGAACGAATGAAAACATATAAACATGTTTTGAAATTAGGAGCCAGCTATTGAGGTTATGCTATTCAAGAAAATTTTTATCTTTCAGCAACAAGGTGTGGCACGTTTTTTTTTCTTTCTTTTTTTATTTTTTCAGATTTCTCCATCAAATTTTCATCAGCTGAATTTCTGCATAACTTGGCCAATGAATTAGTGGTGGTAGGAACTTTTTTGGGATAAAATCAAGAGACTTTTTAACGCTTAACTATGTAATGCTCGAGGGATAAGAAGAATCCTGATTCCTGCAAAATGAGATGGCTGATTTGGTTGCTACAATTTACAAATTCCATAAAAGTGCTGAAATTTTTCGTCCAATCAGGTACTGCAGGATATATTGCTCCTTATCGCAAGATTATTCTCTAGAATGGAATCTTGATGGCCTGCTCTTGATGGCCTGCTAGAGAAAATATGGGAGTATCTATCTAACTTGCATATACACCAAGCCCAAAGGAATGAATCCAGATTATGAGGATCCTGTAATCTTGTCCGCAAAGAAAATAACTGTTGAAGACTTCTACTTACAGTGGTTGCAGTGTTTACAACGGTAAAGGGGAAGATAGGAAAATCAGAAACCTATGTAAAGTCTAAACTTCAATTTTTGCTATACTTTTCATCATTATCAAGCCGAAAATCAATGAAGTATTTGAATCATTGAGCGACGGAGGTAGGGGCTTCGCTCAGTGATGCTTTTGACGTAGGGGCTTCGCCTGATTTTCGACAGAGGAGCGATGGAGGTAGGGCAGAGGAGCGACGGAAGTCTTTGCTTGGCTTTCGGCGGGGAGGTTAAAGCTGGGAGCAAAGATCTCCGTGAAGGTTATGGATGAGGGGTTTCCCGTGAGCGAGTGAGGAGGGCAGGGAGGTAAAAGTTAGAGCAAACGCTGATCGCGAACGCGGACTCGACTATAAACCCGCGTCCAGCTTGTTACGAAAACAGGAAAGGCGGTTTTAGGATAATCACCCGAAATGTGCAAAACAAACGCTGAGGCGGCGTTTTCAAAACGCCGTATGCACTTATAAGCTGCCCCAAACAGACCCTTAATTTTTCTTATAACTTATTATTACCATTTTTTGTTCCACTTTAGGGTTTGCTTTAAGTTTTTCAAGTTGTAGTAGGACTTGAGGACTTTTTGTTTTTAAACATTCGTGGAGTGAGTTCTAGTTTATGAGGCTTACTACACTAAGGGCTATAACATTAGAAGATGTGGTTTGGTGGGATCCGTTGCGAAGGGTAGGCTAAGACATTAATGTAGGCCGGAGTTGCCAACCACAATAAAATTGTTTGTGTATGTTATTTTTAAAGTCATTTACATTTCTAGATCTTAAAATTTAATTTACAATAAATTTGTGGTCTATTTTAGGAAGATAATTTTAATTCTTAAGCTTTGCTTGATCTCTTGTTTTTTACTCTATTATGCTCTTTCACTTTACTTTTTCTTTTGCAATAATTATTTTTTATGAATCTCTTAGTCTCTTTTAAAATATGCTTTTATTTCTTAAGCTTTTTTTGAACTCTTATTGGATTTTTGGGTCCTTAATCATAATCTTTGTTGAAATAAATTATGATTTGTTAAGCAATCTTGTTTGGTAAACTAGCATTGTTTACTTATTTGTGTTAAGTGATCACACTATTGTGCTTTCAAGTGTTCATACTCCTTATCATTGAAATTTTATTTGTCAAACCATTCTTTCCCAATGCGACATCTTTTGTTCCTATATGTTGAATGTTTAATTTCATCATAGCTTGTGTGGTGTAATATAGTGCTAATTAAGGGTTCACACACCTTAATATCGTGAGATTAAGTTGTGTGCACTACTATCTTGGAGATTGCAAGACTATTTTGTAAATTCTCAGTTAATTTTTTTTATGAGTCTTCCACATAACTTTGGTTGACAAAGTTTCGTAGAAAATTTAAATAATATTTGTTGCACGACCAATTCAGAAGAAAATTTCAAGCAAAGTTGTGTCCGACATATCATTGACTAGAAATGGCTTGGTCATACTACTAGTTTTTCAAGTTTGAATTGAGCTTTCAGACATATATTCATGCTCGACTTGCTCAAGATTACCTATAGTAGAGTTTTACTTGTCTTTGGCTTGCCTAAGTTGGGTTAAATGGGTTAATTAATGAACTTATAAATGAATAATTTCAAATGAATTTTTATGTAATAAACTTTTGAGTAAATGAAAGCAGTTTACGAATTTGGAAGTAATATTTATCTATTTGACACAAATTAACCAAAATTATAATTGAACTACATGATAACTGAGGATTGAAAAGATGTATTAAAATTTCTAGGGGAAAATAGGATAAAAGATGGCATGATGGTTTGGGAACTATGATGGGTTAATGATGTTCAGGAGAAGATGCCGTACAGGTAAAGACAAAATAGCAACTGCATGTGAGCTAAGATGGAGAGTCTATGTGCTTACCTCTAATTCTTATGTAGGTGCACTTTGATTCTTACATAGTGGTATTGGAGAAGTTGCATTGAGTGTGAGCATTCATAAGTTGCATTAATAGGTGCTTTAATTGCAGGCGGGTTGAGAAGGATATGGAATATTAACCTCGAAAGGCTTGAATTTTTAGCATACTTTTAACAATTCGCTCGGGTATATGCAACTCTCGTGACCTCAAGTGATCAAAATGCGTAGATTGAACAAGGTGAAAGTGCATAATGATGTATGAAAAATAGAAATAAGAGAGACAGAAGGTACTCTGGTGTCATAAATACATATTTACTATATTAATATTAAAAAAGTAATTAATAATTTTTATTTCTTAAGTTGAATAATATATGGGCTATCATTTGAGTCTAATATTAAGCCATGGATAAGTCAATTGCTGAGCACCAAATTTTTTTTTGTGAGCATAAATTAACAAGTTGGACTATGTTAAAGTTTGGTTCGTTTTACCTTCAATCTTTTAAAAAATGTTTGAGTTTATTTACTAATTTGAATGAAATTGAACAAATATTAATCGAATTGAGTTTAAGTTATTCATTGTGTATTGGTTCATTTACAACATTGTCCCTTGTTGTGCCTAAAACTCTACAGATACTACCAATCATTTTTTTTAATATTCTCATCAATAATTGACTTACTAGCAATCACCTTATTACAATTTGTTCACCTTATAGTTTCTCTATAATTCTTTATCTGCAATTATTCCATCCCATTGATTTTGCCACCCCTCTAAATACATAACTTATAACTTTCTCTTATGTATCTAGATTTCAACTTTTTACATTCAGTTTCTTTCTAACAAGTGATATTGATTCTTTTAATTGTTATATCCACAAATTGTCTTTCCTGCATATTGAAGTCCTCAAATTCTAAGTAACAAATATAATATTATTTTTAGATTCCATTAACCAGTATCTACTTTTTGTTCATAATTAAGTTTTGAAGCATCACTAATTGTGACCAAGTCAACCCTTGGGGCACTTTTCACTATGAATTAGTTAGTCGTGGCATCTCACTTACGAGCAACATCCTAGCAATGCTTCTGATCACTATTGGTTAAACTTTGTCTAACCCTTTTAGTTTTATCAATCTTTAGAATGGCTCACATCTCTTTGATTGAATTTTTTAACCAACCTCATTGCAAGCTACAGACTGTACATTTCAATCTTCATCTATATTCCATAATAATTGATGTATCAGTTATCATCTGGTCATATTGTATGACTTGAAGTTTTATTTGATTATATAATGGCGACATAGTTTTCCTTACTGATTGACATTGATTGAATTTTATCTTCAAAATTTCTAGTAATTTATCTTTCACATAGTACTCTGACATATATCTGCCATATTTGCTCAGCTATCAGTCAACTTTGAAGCAGCTTTTTCAGGAGTTTGAAAAGGCTGGAGAAGACTCCAATGCCCAACTAGCAACTGTTACAATGAGAATTATGCAGGCTCTTCAAAGTAACCTGGATGGTAAATCTAAGCAATATAAGGACCCTGCATTGACTTTTCTGTTCATTATGAATAACATCCATTACATGGTCAGATCCGTTCGAAGGTATGTTGATGTTGATATTTATATTGATATAACTTATTGGGATGGTCCCTTGGATTAGATAAACACCAAAAATGACAATTTCTTCTCAGATCAGAGGCAAAGGATTTATTGGGCGATGATTGGGTTCAGCGGCACAGAAGAATTGTGCAACAAAATGCGAATCAATACAAACGGGTAGCTTGGGCAAAGGTGGGATTTTCTAGAACTAAGGAATTTAACTTTTATTTTTTCTTATGCTGTTATGTAACCATAAATTGAATTTAGTTTCTATTCTAATCATGATGTTGATTTTGTAATCCATACAAAGTTTTAATGGATTGAATACATTATATATTTTCTATAAATATGAGTTACTTATTCACATTCTATATTAATTTCTTGTCAGGTTGGTTAGTTTTATCATTATGTATCTGCACACAAGCAGTCCTCAAATGATGCTTTATGTTGGACAGTTCAAAGAAGGCAGCTTTGAAAGTAGAAGGAACTGTTGTTTTCTAAACTAAAAGCTTCAAAATGTTCTAAGCTTTTAAAATCCCCTTGTGTCAATTTCTATCTGATTTTGATGACTTTGGGCTGCACAACTTAAAAAATATTTTTTCAGGCAATGTGAACCATCAATCAGGAAAACTTTTGATTTTGAATTTATAGGCATATAGTGGCATATCTGCTGAAATGACATATTTTTTTTTCTTTTTATTTTTATGTTGAAGATCATCATGGTTTTAATCTTGTGTACTTTTTTGGAGGCTCAAGTCTTAGAATAAATTTACTTGGAAGACTGAGTTTATCTCCTTAATAGGAGAAATCTATCGCTGTATGTACTCTTGTACATATTCTGTATGAATTTATTGCTCTATCATTCTTTCAATATATTGAAGTAGTGATCAATATATGCATTGGTCACCCATAAATTTGTCTATTTCCATCCTCGTCGTCTTCTAGTTTATCTTTTAGGCGTCCTTTATCTGAGATTTGTTGCAGACTATGCTGTTCATGTTGGTTTAAGTTACACTTCTATAATGTATTTGGTGATTTTCAGTGGTTAAAATGTTGCAATATTTGTAATACTATTTTTTTAACATTTTCTGAATTATGCTGAATATTGAAGACGTGTTTTTTCTGTGTAATATTGTACGGGAGAAATGTTTTGCAGCTTCCTATGTATTTAGTTTTAGCAAAAATGTGTTGCTGCAGGAAACAAATGATGCATATGATGTATTTTGGGTCAAATTTGCTGATTATCATCTTGCACCCTATCTACCTTTATATCAGCACAAATAACTTTTGGGGAAATTTAGATACATTCCACACAATTCTTATGTATTTAAATATCTAAAACACAAAGTTTGATATTTATAATAACATTTGGTGTCCTAAACCTGCACATCAAAAGATGTATTTCACTTTTAAAAGGGCAGTGACTGGTGTTTTTGAAGTGATGTTAAAGATTTAAGCGATACACATGTAAATATGATTGTTTAGGTGTTAGATATGAAAATACATAATAACTGTGTGGTATGTATGGAAATGCCCCTAACTTTTACCTCAGTGATTGAACTGCATGTCATAGCACAGACAACCAGACAACAAAAGGCAGAGACGCCGCAAACAACATCACCCCTTCCAAATTAATCTGTTTAACCAGCAGCCCCTTAGTTAAAACTTAGCATTCACCATTGTGGAATTTCTGAAGGCTTTTAAACAACTTATTCTGGTGTTCTCTGTTACAATCTAATGTTATATTAGTTCTGAAGCTGACTTGGTCATCTTCTTTCCAGATTCTGCAGTCTCTTTCTGTTCAAGGCCAAAGTTCTTCTGGTGGTTCTGGTCCTGGGGGTAGCGATGGGGGCAACAGTAGTGGAGTTTCACGGGCTACTATAAAGGAGAGGTTGATTTCCTACTCACAGCTTTGTCTTCCCGGTTATATTACTACTACAAATATCGGAACTTAATCTTTTTTTTTTTTTCCCAATCATCAGGTTGAAGTTTTTCAACATGCAGTTTGAGGAGCTTCATCAAAGGCAATCTCAGTGGACAGTGCCAGATCCAGAACTGAGGGAGTCTCTGAGGCTTGCTGTTGCTGAAGTTCTACTGCCAGCATATAGGTCTTTTATAAAACGTTTTGGGTGAGCTTCTTTTAAGCTGTCTATAATCTCTCGTCTATTACTAGTTTAACAATGCTGAAAGTTCTTAACAGGCCCACGTTAGGCTATTTTAAGTGAAAATGAATGCCAGATAAGAATAATTATTTTTCGCATTTTCAGCTATGAACTTATTTGGTGTTTATCTAGTTCTTCTAAATTTTAAATCCATGTGGGTTTCTGACCTAAGATCTTGTCGAGTACGTGCTAGTTGTGCATTAATTTAGGCTAGCTGATTAAATATATAAATAAAAATAACATACTAAGGATCATTTTGTCCCACAGTATAATTCTTACATGACGCTAGCATATTAGTTACCAGCAATCCTCTTCCTACCACCACGACCACCACCACCACCACCACCACCACCACCACTAGTGTGCTGCATTAAATACCTATAGTTATATATTTTATATCTATGTAGTTTGAAATTGTTCTTATATTTTATTTCTTATGGTTGCATCCAAATTTTTTAGAACATCAAGTACCTATAGTTTAGGTATTACAAGCTAATTTTATTAACTTTGTTTGTTACGTTGTTTTTATATCGACTTTTGGAAATTTAGTTAGCATGCATGAGAATGTGACGCGGGCGTCTCCTGCAACCTAAATCGGATGAGGCATCCGGGTTGCACGAACGACACAAAGCTGAACCGAGCGGCAATTTCTTTCTAATTTTAAACCCGTTTCCTTTTATCTTTCCTTCCTGCCTTTCTAGTCCTTTCCTACATATGTGTGTGTTGTAATAGAGTTTGGATTCTCAATTTTTGGTGTGTTTTTTATTAGGATAGCTGTTGGAGTCTCCGGTTTCCTCTTCTTTGGCTGTATCCAAGGGGGAGAGTTGTTCCAGTTGTTTCTCGTTCAGAGGTGGTGACTACCCTTGATTTTCCCTTCCTCCTCATCCTTCCCTCCACTGCCGCTGTCGCCATGCTTGCTGCTGCCTCTCAGAAACAGCTCTCATTTGCTGTTTTTCTGCTGTCCACCTTGCCGTGGCCTTTAAAACTCCATACTCCTCCCTTTCGACCTGCGGCCACCTTCCAGGAACCCCACTTCCCACTTCGGCTTGCTGCCATTACCCATAGACCACCTAGTTGCTGTTGCTCCGGACCAGTCACATCTTGGCTGTTGCCACTCTGAACAGCTCTCCCACATCAATTCCAGCCTTCCCAGCTGTCCTGTATCGCGGTGCAGCCCAACTACTCTGTCGTTTTGCTGTTTTACAGCTGTCCATCTGTCATGCATTGCTGCCACGGCCCTAAAACTCCGCGCCTTGTTGTTAGTGCTGTCCGGTCATCCTGTCTTGCTGCTGCCTCCTTGAAACCCTTTCGATTGCTGTTTCAACACTGCCTGACCATCCCACCTGAGTGCTGTCGTCCAGGACAACAAGCATCTGCTATTTCTCTGCTTTCCTAACCCCCTTGCTCCACTTCCCTACTTCACTGTCACTTTCCCAACCTTGTTGTCGCCTTAGTCGCGGTTGTGTATCATACTTGTTTTTATTTCCAATTTCAATGCGTTTTGTTGTAATCTCCTATTTGTTTTTTTAGTGATAATATTTGCTTTCATGTTATTGTTTGGGTTAATTCCAATATTATTTAGTATCGAGCTAGCATAACCCTAATCCTATCATAGGATTACCTCAATCCACCACCATCTAACTCAATTTTTTTTCTTTCTCACCCCACGTCACCCCATGCACCTTCTTCCACTGACCCAAACCCAGACACTGAACACGCCGTCGAAGAGACAATAGCCGGAGACTTGATCAGGAGAAAATGACATAATCCACTTAGTGGAAATTCACAAAGTGACATTCATGAACTTACCATAAAGGAGGTGCTATCGGAATTCCTCCAACTACAATAGAGCTTATCACCTTCTAAAGTAAGCAATTCAGAAGGGTCACCCATAGCCACAACGGTGACTTGTCAGATTCCAGAGATGAAGAACCACTATTTCGAAGATTGGACATGAAGTATCAGAGATTTTAGAATCTTGAAGTAAATGTGAATTTATTATATTTTGACGGCAACTTGGATCCGGAAGAGTTGATCGAGTGATTCCAGACTGTGCAACATGTCTTTGAGTATCAAGGCATCCTACTAGACAGAAGAGTAAAGGTAACAACCAACAAGTTAAAGAAGAGCGCATCTCTGTGGTGGGGGAACTTGAAAATCCTTCGTCATTGAGAAGGGAAGAGTACATTATTGTTTTTTCTAAAGATGAAACGAGAGATGCAGCTCCTGTACCTACCAGTTCATTACATAGTATGTTCATAACCTAGCTTCCAAAGTGGAGGGACACCGGATGATCGCCACATCTTATAGACAGAGTTTAACCCCATGGTCAACTAGCCATAGTACACCTAAGGGAACATCTGAGCCGACGACCCCTCCTGAGTATGAACTAAGTCAGAGTGTAGAACAGGTGGAGCCAATCAATATTTCCAAATTCATCTCAGCCAAAGAGTGCATTAAGTTCCACGGTTTTGGGCTCAATTTATCAGCATGCCCAAAAAAGAATACGATCTATTTCATGGAACAAAGAGTAGTTGAAGAAATGGACAATGACACAATAAACACTAAAGAAAGCGCGAAGACACAAATGGGTACTAGCTACCAACTGATGAGGGAGAGATGCATGCAATTCAAGTTAAGCCCGTGAGAGATACTCTAGTCGGGTTAACAATAGTTGTTCTAGAATGGAGTGAATTTATGGTAATGAGCATTCATACAGAGTATGACGTTGTGGTGTTGTTGGCATTGAGAGGGGGATTAACTGGACTGACGTTGGATATATAGAAGGGTCAATGAGTTTGAGTAGTCAATACAAGAGACAGAACAACCTTGCATAAGAGAATTTCAAAATTTTCAAATATATAACTAATTTTTTTGGGGGTCAAACATATCAGAAATAAAGAACTTTTGAGCTACTTCTGGAAGATCATATTGAGTTATTTGGATATTAAATTCAGTTCAACAGTGTGCCTACCAACATATGATAGATTGGAGGGATGAAATGCAGTATTGGAAATCACTTTAGTATCTTTGCAGGAAAAAACATTCTACAATGTGATCCAGATCATTTCAGAGGAGAAGAAGATGTCTCTCCTGAGTGTTTACATTTCAACATGGTCCAGTTTGTCATAAATTTCAGTCCAGAGTTAGTTTCTTCAAACAAATTTATTTAGCAGAAGCACCTAGTCGAGTATGAGGAGTGGAAGAGATAAATTATAGATTTAATGACTCGAGAGTTGTTTTCTGAAGTTTTATGTTGATGTGCTCCAGCTCAAGTTGTGCCAAAAGAGAATGAATATTTATTCTATCAGAATGTGTTTGGGAATGACAACGCCTACTTGACTGACTTATTAGGAAATTATGCCATGTCCACTACCTTCAACGTGCTCGACTTGGTGTTGTACTACTAGAAGACAAAAGTTTCGACAGATGAGGTCGAAGGTCCCTCAAACACAACAGACTGACGCGGACATCTCACTACAGCTGAATCAGATGCAACATTTGGGTCGTGCAAACGATGCAGAGCCGAACCGAGCGGCTTCTCTTTTGATTCCTTTCGAATTTTTTATCACGTTTTCATTTATCCATCTTTTCTAGTCATTTCCTACTTATCTGTTGTGTTAGGGTTTGAATTCTCAATTTTTAGTGTGTTTTTGTCAGGATAACTGTTTGCGCCTCCGGTTTCCCTTCTAAAGCTGTATCCAAGGGCGAGTGGTGATCAAACTATATTTCATTCCAAGGTGGTGACTATCTCCGACTTTCCCTTCATTCGCATCCTTCCCTTAGCTGTCACCGTCGTCATACTAGTTGTAGCCACCCGAGAATAGCCCTCCGTGGTTGTTTTTTTGTAGTCCACCTTGCCACCACCTTCTAAACCCCGCAGTCCTCCCTTCCAACTTATGGCTGTCTTTCAGGAACCCCACTTCCTACTTTCCTTGCTACCAACACCGATAAACCACCCATATTTTATTGTTGTTTGTTGTTCCCCCGCCCCAGCCACACCTTGGCTGTTGTTGCTTGGGACAGCTCTCCCACATCAATTCCAACATTCTCAGACGTCCTGCATCGCTGCTGCAGCCGCGCAACTCTGTGGCCTTGCTGATTTACTGCTGACTGGTCATCCTGCTTTGTCGTCGCCTCCCCGAAACCCTTTCTGATACCGGAGATACCGGAGTTTAACCGAACAACAATAAAGAAAGCAAATATTATTAATGAAATTAGATAATAATAATTTACAACCAGACAATTGAAATAGGAAATAACACACATTACATAACATGCAACTAGGGTGAATCGAAGGTGGTGGTGGTGATTGTTGGGGGTTAGAAAGGTGGCGACAAGGCAGGGAGATGGAGCAAGGTGTCAGAGGTGATAACAGAACAACAGGTCACAACAGGTCCTTGTTGTCGTTGGCGGTAGCAAGGTGGTCGGGGCCTGGGCAGCATATAAAACAATGCATATAGTTGGTTTTGAACGGCAGCAGCCCCACAAGAAGTCTGGAACAGCGGGAAAACAGCCACATGGAGTGGGGGAAGCGGCTGGGAAGGCTGAACAGGTAGATAACAGCAAGAGGGGATTGGGAGGAGCAGTTAGGAGGGCTGGAGGTGAGGGAAAAGGGTGGCTGGAAGGCAGAAATATCAGGTGGACAGCCAGTAGGCGCTGTTCCAGGTGGCTACAGTCAGGAACGGTGGTGTAGGAAGGCATGGAATTGGTGAGGAGCACATGGAAAAGCGGTGGGCTGTGGGAAACAACAAGGGAGAGGACAGGTGCAGCTGCGACAGTGAAGAGGATTGCGGGATAGCGAGAAACTGCAGGAAGAACAGCGAAAGGGCTGCTGTCGGAGCGGCCTGCAACAAGGAGGAATGCATGGCAGCGAAGAGGGAGGGATGCAGATAAGTTGGGGGAGGATAAATCACCAGCGAGATACAGCCGGAGTGCCACTTGAAATTTGGATACAGCCCTAGACGGGAAACATAGATGCTTGCGGCTATCTCAAATAACATGACAAAACTGACGCTCCAATTCCTAATACAACACATATATAAGAAATAATTAGAAATGAAGGAAAGATAAAAGGAAGCATGGTGAAAATTGAAAATAAATCTAAAGTGGTTCTGTTCGGCTTTGCGCCATTCACGCGATATGTATGTTGCTTACACTCCCTTAGCAGGAGACAACCACGTAACTTTTGCTTGCTGGTTCACCATTGCGCGGCCATCCTACTTGTGTGCTGCCGTCCAGGACAGCAAGCATCTGCCATTCCCGTGCTGTACTCGCCCCCTTACTCCACTTACCTCGCCGTCATTTTTTCCCAACCCCCAACAGCTTCCACCACCACCTAGGAATTGGCCCTAGACGAGGTTGTTTGTTGTACTTATAGTTTTTTCCTATTTCAATGTGTTTGCTTGTAATCTCTTATTTGTTTTTCAATAATAATATTTGCTTTTGCTATTATTTGGGCTAACTCCTGTAACAAGATATATCAAAGGCTGAAGCATCTTTCTACTTCAAATGATAGCAAATCAGCATACAATATTGCTAGGTTCTCAAGTATTAAATAAAACCGAGAGCTGAATTGAAAAAAGATGCTTTGGTTTAGGTAATTCAGATGGGTTATGGTACCAACAATGTAATCATAGAATTAGTTTGGGACCATTTTGAATGTAATGGATCCAAACCGATCGGAATTGCACCCCAACAATACTTCTAAATGTTGAATCATTATTAATCGCCGGAATTGATTTTCTTAAAATTTTATCTTAAATGCTTAATGTGTTTGCTAGTGCCAAATATAGATCTTACAAAATCCCAAAACTGTCGTTTTTTTTAGCCTCGGTGGGAGCTTTGCGTATGATTCCCAAGTTGAATTAACAGATAACTGTCATTATGAATCTGATTTTTGCTTGTGATTCTCAAGTTGGACTAACAGATAATTTAAAAAATTAATTTCAAAAAGAGATGAATGATTTAGTACAACATGAAGAAAGTATATTATTAGAGGTGATTTGACATGTTTTGTATGTTAGGTTAGACTATGAGTGGATTTATGGTGATTATGAAATAAGATATAGAAATGCAATGAGAGAAGTTATTTTATTTTGGAATAGCTAATGATCTTGATGTAGTTTGCACATTTTAAGAAGTAAGAATGCTTATTTTTGGGGATTGGACTTCAGAAAGAAAGAAATCTTCTTACAAAGGGCATACGGTGGTTTTGAAAATAGAGTTTAACTACATAAAATAGGTGGTAATTATGTATATATCTCCCAAGGGTATAAAGAAAAGAAAATAAAAAAAGAAGACGGGGTGGTGAAAATTGAAAGGTAAAAAAATTGATTAGTTTTTACGATAACTGGATGGGAGCGGTAAATTTGAAAGTTTTTAGTGTATCCAAATCAAATATGAGATAAGATGGTTAGTTTTGCTAGGAAGATTATTTCAAAGGTTTAAAGAGAGTTTATAAATAGATCATGCATTGATAATGGGATTTAGTGGTGAAGTGAGGAGTTAATGATGATAATAAGAAACGAATGTCTCACAACCAGAGTATTGAGTAACGTAATAACTGCAATTTTGGTGGATTTATAGATTAATTTTGGTCTAAAGAATAAGAGAAGAAGGTATGCTGAATATCTATGGAAAAATATGAGATGTCAAGAATTTGATGAACTTAGATATAATAGAAGTGGAGGTGATAGGATTTTGGTTGAAGTGAAGACATAAGGAAAGATAAACATGCTATTTTGAGAAATTATACTATGAGGGTTTTAGGAAGAAATTATAGTGGAATATCGCAATGATTAATGTGATACGGGATGGTATGCATTGATTCCAAAAATTGAAGTGGAGATAGTTTTGAAGAAGCCGCATAAAAGGTTAAGTTTTAGGTCCAAAGGTATAAAAATGCTGTTGTATTAGTTTGATAAATAAACTTTTATAATTGAATTTTGAAGACTAAGTTAATATTGACTGATTGGAGAGGAAGCCTTTTTTAGGATATGTAAAAACAAAACAAATGTTTTAAATTGTGCAAACTATAGAGGATCAAACTTATGAATGGTATAGTAAAGCTATGAGAGAGCAATGTAATATGAAATTAGAAAAAATACATTCATTTTAGAGAGAATTTGATTTCATACCAAGAAGATCTATTATAGAATCAATTTTTGTGTTAAGTCAATTAATTTTTGATGGAAAACTTGTATTATGGAAGTCAACTTTAGAGTTTAAAGGCTGTCATTTGAGTAGTTTTAAAATTAAATACATGGAATACAATTTTAGTAATATTAGATCTAGTTATGGAGTTGTAAAGGTGATCAAGTTATTAAATGTTTTAGATATCTCATGTCTATTATTCAAAGTGATGGTGATATAGTTGGGGATGCTATTAGTAGTCAAGTTGGTTAGTTGAAGTGGAGGAATGCATTGGGCCTGCAATGCTTTATGATGTAAAATGTTGGCATGTAAAATAGAAACATAAAATTAAGTTTAAGTGCTGTTGGGATGAGAATGCTTAGGTGGATGAGTGGATTTACACAACAACAAAGCCTTAGTCCCACTACGTGGGGTCGACAAATGGAGGGGTGCAACATGAGGACTTCCCAGGAGGTCACCGATCCTAGTACTACTCTCGCCCAAGCACGCTTAACTGCGGAGTTTTGATGGAATCCGATGCACTGGTGCTGGATGAGTGGATTTACACTTAGAGATAAAATATGAAATGAATGTATCCATGAAAGGGTTGGATAGCTCTAGTGGCAAACAAAATTAGAGAGAGTCGCCTTAGATGGGTTGATCACATTAAACATCAATCATCTGATGACTAGTATTAGATGTTTTAGATTTTACTTACGTTGACAAAGGTAAAAGTATATCTAAAAAGAGTTGGGCATGTTGTATAAAAATGATCTTAATTTATTAGAATTAAAATAAATAGGCCAAATTATATAAAGGTGTGGGCGTCCGAGCCAAGTTAAGCGAACTAGGGGGAGGAATAACAATTAAAAAAAATAGGCCAAATTATATAAAAAATACCATCTTCTACGTCGGGGTGGAAAAGCGTCTGAGTCAAGTGTATCTCGAGACGGTAGCCGCAGTGGTCGGTGCCACAATTGATATTTTTGAAATACAAATACTAACCACTATTCTCTCTTTAGATGATCGCGCGTGATAGGTTTCAGCAGGCCAACTTGGAGGCTTCGATAAGTAGAGCGATGTCCGAGAGTGATACCTCTGCAAATAGTAATCTAATTCTTCCTCTCCATCTCAGTGTGGTGGGTTTAACAATACAATAACCCATCAAAAGAGAGTGAATTAATTTGACACTTGTATGAACCAATGTAAACAATCAAAAAACCATTTAGACACTTCACTCAAATGTTATCATATACATACGCATGCTATCCCTCTTATTGTCCTAATCTTAAAATTTATATTTTCACAGCAGATATGAAATCTCTCACTTTGCAGTATATGATTATGCCCTTTTTCATTGCAAGGAAATTTTGCACTTTGATTAGCTCTAATGGCCGCGTCTTGCCCTTTGTCTCAGGCCTCTTATTGACGGCGGAAAGAATCCTCAAAAATATGTGAAGTATACTCCAGAAGATCTGGAGCGAATGCTTGGGGAATTCTTTGAAGGAAAGACATGGAATGAGCAAAAGCGTTGATTGCCGATTTCTGATTCTTCTGTTTTGAACAGTTTTCCGATTATTTTGGGTTTGAAAAAAAAGCATTTTTGTGAGTCTCTTTGTGTTTATGGCCCTGTTCTTTTATCCACCATTAGCTTCAATTTTCTTGTAAAGTTTATTTATTCTTTTACTGTCTTGTTGTCTCATGACGGGTATGATTTGTAAGGAGAGTTGATTCCTATGATTCTTTTTTTCTTCTTTTTTCATGAACTCAGTTACTGCAATGATCAGTTATTGTATTGAGATTGTCACATTAATTTGATATTGTTTAAGGGCCTTTTTATTGTTTTAGATAAGTCAGAAATTAGTGGTATGAGTCGATTCAGCCCGGCTTGTTTAAATTACATTTATATAAAGCGAACATAAAATATATTAAAATTTAATATATTATGTTTTAAGTTTAAAATATCTTAAAAAATATACTTGTATATAACACCATTCTTTTATATATCAGTTGGTCGGACATTTATTTGTCAGTTGTAAGTCTCCTCTGATCTGAGGTTTGATTCCACCCAAAGTGTAGGATGTGGTCCTTAAATTATAGGCGCACGAGGGATGATCGAGGCTCATATCATAGCCTCTGACCACCAAGTATAACTGTTAAATTTTGGGTGTTACAAAATATAAGTATTGTGTGATATGTATATAAGTTTTAGTTCATTTATTTTATTTTTTTGATAATAATTGAGCTGATTTTTAGCTTTTAGAATTAATCTTAGCTGAAATTAGAATGTGATTAATTAATGAAAAGGTTAAGCTAGTGAAGCTCAATTTGTGTACACCCTTAATTAGGATTATAGCTCTAATGCAAAAGAAGTCCTACTCCTAATCACTCTCACCTCTGTTCTGCCAAAATTGTGGACCTTGCCTTTAATGTCCTTGCTTCCCTTATCATCAAATTGGAGCAATTAATACATGGAGATAACGATGAATGGAGGAAGAGAGATTTTAAAATTCATTTTAATTAAAAAAAACTATTCAATGTATTTATTTATATTAAATCAATTTATTTCTCTAAATTCAAAATTACTTCAATTTTCTGACGTTGCCCTTAGAAACCAGCTCAACTAACCCAACTTAAACCAGAGGTCACATTTCAATTTCATGCGCCAATGTTTTAGTCGGTGATACGTCGCCATCAAATAAACGGGAATTTACCTAATTGAAATCTTCAACTCAACGTGTCACTTGACCGCGTCAAATTTTACATACTTATTTTTATAAAACAATTGAGTGATATAAATATAAAAAAACAAATTTTAAGCGGTAGTTATGTAAATATATAAAAATTGGGTGGTTATGATAATAAATATTTAGTGCTAAATCTCTTAAGATAAAACAAAATTGTTGTGAAGTACTTCCACAACACGGAGTTAACAAACCATAATAATAATATTATGATTCTCATCATGTAAACATCAGTTCTTACATAATAACAACTTAAAACATTGAATATAACATTTTAACTAACCAAATTTTAAATATAACATTTTAACTACCAAAAATTCTAAATATAGCATTTTAACCATTCAAAATCTTCACTTTAAAGGAAAAAATATTACCTCAGGAGTACGGATGCATCAGTACTCCAATGATGGAGTGTCACGTATGCAATGATCCCACCGTGAAGCCACGTGACACCTCACTATTGGAGTACTGCATCAGTACTCCTAAGAGAATATTTTTTCCACTTAAAGCCTCTACTAGTGGATAAAAGTGGTGGTTGTAATGAAAAAAAAATAGTTAAAATATTACATTCCAAATAGTTGGTATTTAAAAGCCACAAATATAAATGCTAGATACTTGAATAAAAAGAAAATGGTGAGATTTATATAAATATTTCCAAGAAAGTAAACATCTGCCCAAATTGAAATTCTCATTCCATTTCGTAACCGCGTCGACGCTAACCCTAACCCTAACCCATTATTTATTGCGAAACTTCCCCCCACACGTCCTCACACCCACACTCCACCATATAAGAACCACCACCACCTGATTCTCTTCTCACACAAACTCTCTTTTCCCAACAATGGCTTCCAACGCTAAACCCTCCGGCGGCCTCAACGGCGCCTACTATGGCCCATCAATCCCCCCCACCCGAACCCACCGGAGCGTCGGTGGCCGCTCCTCCGCCTGCTGCTGCGACCCCTGCGGCTGCCTCCTCTGCTCTCTTTTCAAACTCATCTTCTCCATCATCATCACTCTCGGCATCATCGTTCTCATCTTATGGCTCGTCTTCCGCCCCAACGAACTCAAAGTCGCCGTAGAGGACGCCAAGCTAACCTCTTTCGATCTCAGCAACTCCTCCAACCTCAACTACAATCTCTCCCTTTCTATCAGTATCCGAAACCCTAACCGCCGGATCTCCATCTACTACGACCAAATCGAAGCCGTGGCGCTGTACGACGGCAGTCGGTTCGGCTACGATGGATCGCTTCCGGTTTTCTTTCAGGGGCACAAGAACACGACGGTGATTTCGCCGAGATTCGGAGGGCAGGCGGTGTCCCTCGGAGCGGTGAGCGGGACTTACGAGAGGGAGAAGAAAGAGGGGAATTTCTATGTTGATGTGAAATTGAACGCGAGGATTAGGTTGAAGGTGAAGTTTGTGAAGGTGGGGCATTTCAAGCCGAAGTTCGACTGCAAGCTGAAGCTCCCCGTGCCGCCGGCAAAGGGTGGATCGCCGGCGACGGTGTTTGAGCGGACTGAGTGTGATGTTGATTGGATCTAAACATGGGTTTTTAGGAGATTTCGTATTTTTATTCTATTTAGTTTATTGCTTTTGAGTTGATTTTTGTTATTGTCTTGTTTTAATATTTCAGGTCAGGTTTGGTGGCTGTGGGACCCATTGTGTAGTTGTATATTAATTAAAAATTATTTATTTATTTATTTTTGTGGAGATTGTGGTGCGACTAGCCGTTACGTTTGACTTTGACTGTTTCCAAGTTGGAGCAACGGGTTGCGGACCGTTACAATTTGAAAATTCTATGAAGGGAGATAAAATGTTATTTTAAATATTAGCACTTTTAATATGTTTAAATTTAATTGCAAAAGGAAGTGTGTTTATTGCATTAAATATATCTCAATTAAAGTAGTATTTAAATTGTTGGGTTCATATAAAATTTTTTCTTTTATCAATCACAAATTTTCACTGAATGTTTGAACTTTTTAAATTAATTTATAAAATATTCAAAGCAAAAAGGTGATGATTGTAAAAGAAAAGAATGTTGAAATATTGTCTTGTTATAACGAACCTTCGATTGATTGAACCAAACTAGTTGGTCTGCAAGAGTGGATAAACTTGGGGTGATTCTAGCACTAATGTTGCCATCAATATTGACGAGTGGCTTTTCTGTTTTATCTCTACATGTCACTCTCGTATCATTTCCGTCTGAGTGCTTGACTTTTGCAAACCTCAATTTATATGAGATGAATACTTTTTTGCAAAAAAATTGGTACCACATCATTGACATTTCTAATGGTTTCAAATTGAACCACATGCCTTGAAATTAGTCACATTGAAAAAGTCACTATAATGAAATTTTATTCACTTGGGCTTATGTTGCTAAGGTATAAGATACATGAGTTGAGACATCACTCCTGTGAATGTTCTATTCTCATTTTAAAGATTGGCACTAAGAAGATGGCAAAGATAAGCATTGAGGGTGAGAAACAACTTATACATGTAAAAGCAAAAAAATAAAAAATAAAATAAATAAATAAATAAATAAAAACGCATTATCTTCATAGAGTATGGGTAATGTAATATAAATATTTCGATCATGTATTCTCCTCTAATGATTGGGGTTCAAATATCAAGATCACTGAATAAGAGGGATGTATTTCACAAATAATTATACTAAAGTTATAAGTAGCTAGGGCTGTCAAAACAGTTCGTTGTTCGTGAATAACCCATATTCGGCTTAGAGCTATCAGATGTCCTAACTCGCTTGCCAGTTACCAACTTTTGTGGAAATGAAAATGCAATTTTTCTATTTTTTTATAATTTTTAAAATGATAAATACCACAAAATATATATATTAAGGAATGGTCGGAGGCTATTATACAAGCCCCGATCATTCCTAATGAGCCTAATAAATTATAGTACCACGACCTACACTCGGGGGGGAATCGAGCCTCCAAACCAAAGGGGACTTACAACTGACAAGCAGATGCCCAATCAACTGATCTGAGTACGCATCACACATATATATAGTATTTTTAAAAATTTTAATTAACTACAAAGCTACAAAGAATTATAATCAATTAATAGTATTAATTAAGAAAATATAATAAGAATTATTAAATTAGATTAAAATGATGTTTTAATATAAAAATTATTTTTTAATCTTGCCCAAACTCTTAACGACTCTTTGTTAGTGAACAACTCGTGTTCCGCTCGCTAAGTAAATAAGCCGAACACTAGCACACTTTTTGAGTTCGAAATACAAACGAGCCGAACACAAGTTGAGCCTGGGCTTGCTCGTGTTCGGCTCGTTTACACCCCTATAAATAGCATCCTATGTGACACACCACCACACAAATCTCGAGGTATGACACAGATCTTAATGCACATTTTTGGGCAACAAATGCTAAAACTTCAATTAACAGTCTTTCACAGTTTTAATTTCAACAAACTTATAGTCTAATTGATCGGCTCGACGAGATGAACCCAACAGTACCAAAATCACTCAAATTCGAGTAAAATCAAGCTCAGATGAAGTCATCAAACCACTTTTGAAAGCTTTTCAGACATGTTTGGAAGGACAAATAGATGTTAAATTTGGTGAGCTCGTGGTCGAATTAAGCGACTCGACAAGGCGAATCCAACGAGCCTATAAGATCCCTCAATTCCGACATCATTAAGTCTATCAAATGTTCATTAAGCACCTTCTGATCGAGGAAATATTTCCGGGTTGTCTGACTAGAGTGAGTTATAGTCATTTATTAATTGCAATTGAGACTATATATTGAGCCGCACCCCTCTCATAAGAGGGGGGCTTGAATAATGAGCAAAAGTCCAACATCACTCCTGCAACCGTCGATCGCCACCAATAACAGTCAATCGCTACTTACCGGCCGCCGTTGATCACCATTAGCTACCGCCCATTCCGTGTGACAAGATCCCTCGCGCATCTAAAGAAAGAGCTTGAAGCTTGAAGAATAAGCAAAAGTCCAACATCACTATTGCAATCGTCGATCGCCACCAATAACAATCAACCGCCACTCACCGGCCGCCGCCGATCACCATCAGCTGTCACTCATTCCTTGTGACAAGATCCTCCGCGCATCGACGATGTAAATCGAAAGATTGTGTTACTCTTTCTTGTCGGTAGAATAAAGAATTGTACGTGTAACCTTGAGTTTATATTTGATTTTCTTCAACTGTGCTAGAACTTGTGGTATTTTCTGTTTTCGAATTTTTCATGTAAAAACTTCTTGTGTCTCTACTAGTTATTTTTTTTTTATCTGAGTGTGTGTCGAATCTCCATATAGTACTAAGAAGATAATATATTACTCTATCGTAGCGAATCTTCGAAGACACATCATTATGATTTCTTTTCTTTAGGAAGAGGATATAAATACGTGAAAAGTAGTGATCATTAGAAAAAGAGAAAGCAGGTGTTTATAAAAAATCCAATACCCAACTCTTTAAGTAGCTTAAAGAGGCAAATACTTAAAAAGTCTCTTTATAGGAAATGACACCATGATATATTTCTTGTGAAATGACACCATGATATGTTTCTTGTGATTGATGTTAGTAAGCAATCATGTGACGATAAAAGAAGAGAAACTCAGGTTAAATGTGACATAGGCCGAGTTAGGGAGCCAATATGGACATGTGTTGTGATCCTGGCGGCCAACAATAATTAATTTTTTTTTAAAAAAGTTTCAAGTTCATAATCCTTTAGTTCAATTAGAGTTATTGAGGAGGCTATACTAAACTACTATATTATCATATGTTTTAGATTAAATTATTTTTTATCACCTCTTATAGAAGATTAATGAAATCTTTAAGAGAAACGTTTTCTATACCATCAATTCATTGCTCTATTTTTCATTGAATATCCAACTGCCTTGTATGTCTGCTTTTCATCCTCTCGCAAATCATATAATAATATCGAAGCTTGGTTCACCTATTAAAAAGGTTTCATAAGTGATTGTTTTAATTTTTATAGACATAGTTGGAAGATGTATCAAATTAGATTGAAATATGAGGTCAAGCATCGGACCTTGATCAAACACATTTTATTAACAGCGTCGAGGCGCTGTCTTAGTAGCTCCGCAGTGTTGCTCCAGAAATAAAATTTCAGCTGAAACCTGAGAACTAGATACCGCAACACTACTGCTGTAGTGGCGCAGTGCTACATCGCAGCAATGCAAAGTGGAAGTTTGTTTAAGCAACTCTTTCTATTGTTCTTCATGTTGGATTTCAAACTCTCTTCTGAAAAGAATATGAGAAGAGTGCCATGGAGTGTTTCACAATGTAGAGAGGCTTGAGCGTGGTGTAATTTGTAGATTCTCCTCATTTTCTTAATAGTGAATTTCTTGGTGTGATGTGGCTTCGTGTTTTTTTCCCGTTCTAGAGTTTTTTCATGTTAAATTCGATGTATTCTGTTTTTGTACGTTTTTGTTCAAAATTTTACTTTAGTTCTCTCGAATCAGTTTCCACAATTTTCACATCACCCAACACAAATGATGTTCGAAGATATGCTATATTCATACCATGTAGTAGATGAGAGCAAATCATGTTTGGAATTTGTTTGAACTATGATCAAACAACATTCAAATATGATTTGAGTACTCATGAAATAACATAATTTTTTATACCTTTGAATCATGCAAGCCATGATTTCAAAAGAAGTCCAAATATAATTCACCCACACCATTTTATCAATTGTTGAAACGTATTCTTTCTAACTTCGTCTTCAATCTCCATTGAAATGAAAGAATTTACGGCATACAATAGAAAGATCAAACCTTCAATACTCACATATGTTCAAGTTGTCAATGATATTTCAATTTCCTTTGTGATGATGATATCACCAGAGAACGCCGTGCTTTACTCTACAGCAGGATTGAAGTGTATTATATTTTCATTAAATTTCAGACATTATCAATCAACCCATATAAATTAAAAAAATTTATGAATAGACTGAACATTCAAAAAAAAAAAAATGAAAAAAAGAATTTATGAATAGACTGAACATTCATTCAAAAAAAAAAAAATGAAAAAAAGAAAAACTCCTCAAAGATCGCAGCTTTGTTCACATCTGAAATTTCACACACAGTTGGAAAGGAACTATGTTGTATCAGTAGGAATATCATACAGATTACTTAAACATATTTTTAATTTATCCTATAACTTGAAGTCATCTTCCAATTACCCGAACGATCCGCCAGCTATCCACCGGCAACTTCCGCCGCCGGCAAGAAAACATTTTTCCAGATATCGGCGAATGCGCGAAGAATGATATCATGATGCCCAGAAGAATTGAGGGAGATATATTGGTGAAGAAGCTGACAGAGATCCTCCCAACCATACATCTCCTTCTCCACAATCATCACCAGTATCGATTCATAGAAGTCAAGATAAGGATTCAGCGACTCTTTCACCACCGCCACGCTCTCTTCCACCACTCCGTTCCTCTTCGTTCTCTTTCTTCTTTTCACCGCCCGACTCTGCTTTCCTCCCTTTCGGTCACTTGTCTCTTGCTTCGCCGGCGATGACGATGAAGAGAACGGTGAGGCTGTGGCGGCAGGGCTGGAGGTTGTTGATGAGAGAGATGAAAAGCTAAGAGTTTTGGGGATCCTCTGTTTCAGGGAGGAGGATGAGGAGGACGGTGAAGAGAACAGAGTAGAGAAAATTGATCGCCGGCAGCCACAGCCTACGTCCACCAGTACTGGCTTCTGCACCATGAATCTTCTCTGCGGGGATGCCATCAAGAAACTGTGATGAACAAAAGGAGATATTTTGCTTCTGGGGATATGCAAAAGATTTGATTTTTAGTTGGGTTGTGAGAAACTGCAGGAGGAAAAAATTTGACTGGCAGAAGAACGATCGGAGAGATCTGTCGCTTGTTTTTATATGTTTGAGAGAGTTAGATGGAGGTAGGGGTAACGTGTGGAAATTTTGGTAGGTAGAAGTTGATCAGAGAGAAATCAGAAGAAAAACAGGGAGAGATGACGACGATGGAAGATAAAGAAAGCTTGAAAAAGAGGTTCTTGCATTTTACTTCGTGATTCAACTTTCTGACTTTTAGGTTATATAATAATAAAAACTGAATCGTTTTTGTCTGTAAAGGAATTAATTGGAGAGGAGAGGAATAGGGCGCGTATTAATGGCGCATGTGAGGCTGTTATTTGTGTGTACAATGAACTATATCGTGAACTCGATGGACTTCTACTCTTCTTCCTTCATGGAATGTAGCTGTACAAATTGCTGCACTGCACGACATGGTGGAAGCGGGTATGACTTTCGTAAATTCTTTTGTAGTTATGTATTGATTAAAGTTTTTATTTTTAAAATATCTGTAGTCATGTATAATATATTAAAATATATTAAGAATTAAATTTTGGGGAGGTTGACCATTAATCATAAATAAATTGGAAATTTCTGGGGGAAATATTCTCAGCATCTTATGAACACCACTTCATTGACTGAATCAATTCCTTAATCATCGACGACATTAATTAAGTTAATGAAGACCACTTAGTACTAATTTGAAAAGATAATTATTTTCATTGGAAGAAGTAAATCAGCGTAAATCCTTGAACTTTTATGAGAAATTTACTCGATAGATAGTTCTATGACAATACAGTAAGGTATATTCTGCAGCTCAACCTAACCAAGATCTTTTTGAGACTATCAATTCAATGCATCATTCTTGATAAGTCTATCAACAAATTTTTAACATTCGACGCTATCTTAAAATATGACGAGGATCTTGAGATGATATTTTAAGCAATAGACATTCAAGCTTCAATTAAAAGTCAACCAGGACTCAGATTTCAATAAAATTATAATCAAACTGATTGGCTCGATGCGACGGACCCAATGATACCAAAATTAGTCTAATCCGAGTGTTATTAAACCACTCTTGAAAGTTTCCCAGACATATTTAAAAGGTCAAACGAATGTCGAATCTAGCAAGTCTATAGTAAAATCAAGCGTCTCGACAGAATAAATTCAACAAGCCTAAGATTACTCAATTTTGACATCGTTAAGACACTCAAATGTCTATTAAACACCGTCTAATCAAAGGAAATTGGCTGGACCGTCCGATCAAAGTGGTTCATATTCCTGCACTAACTGCACCCAGAACACTATAGATAAAACCCACTCCTCACATGAGGGGGAGGGAGATTAAGGCTTGAAAAAGAACTTAAAGCCTTAAAAAGGAGCTGAAGACGAGCACCACTCTTGCTACCGTCGATAGTCGCCGACCAATATTGACCAGCTCTGACCGTCATCGATCATTGCTGACCACCATTGACCATCGTTGACCATCGTCGACCACTACCTATCGGCCTTCATCGATGACCATCGGCCACCGCCTGCTTCTTACAACAAATTCATTCTCATGTCGATATTGTAATTCAGATGACTTTGTGACCCTTTCCTATTTGTGGGACGAGGTCTCTATAATTATCAACTTATAGTAGATTTTCACAATTGGGTTATGCTTCGTGGCTTTTTCTCTTTACGGGGTTTCAACGTAAGAACTTCTAGTGTCACCACTGATTGTTTTCTTTTATCAGTTGAATTCTCTTGCAACACTAAGACAATATTTCTTAACTCTACCGCCACAAATTTTCTAGCAGACATCATTTCTCTTGCTACTCGACATGCTTATAGTCCCCAACCAATATCGTTAAGTTTGGCCTTATTTTGTGTTTTAGCGCCTTTGGTGATGTCATGAGAAAAATAAACTTTAATATCTTACTCAAGAAAAAAAATCAACATACTCTATACCATCGCTTTCATGAATTTTTGTCTATGATATTTGCTATTCTCTAGCTTCTATTTCAATGAGATTCAAATTGCAAGATGGGTTCTTTGATATACACAATTCAAGATATTTTTGGATTTTTAACACAAAAAAATAATAAATAAATTACAATAAATGCACAACACTATAATTTCAAGACTAAATTTAAAATTTTCAACTATAGTTTTCTTAAAACTGGAAATTCAACGTCTTTCACTAACAACATTATCAAAAATTTCATATATACCAAAATGTTGTGAAGCACCAAAAAGTCATGCAAGTATACATGTCATTCAAATGATATATGAAAGCAAGTCCATATATCAATTAATTAATGAAATTCATCATCTCTATAGTTCTCAAATTACACCATCAAATCTTTAATATGTCAAGTTGTCAACTTCATAGGTTCGTAATGTTTAGTGCTTCAAAACTCCTTTTTTTTTGCTTTCTTGTCGATAGAACACAACTGAAAGTGGCAGCCACCAAGCCATTGTTTGCTGGCCCAACGAAGAGATTGTCGAATCACTTTACATGTAAAAGATCGAAAAAAGCTGAACCATTTGATGCAGATTTTGATTTGATATATTTTAAGGAAAAAAAAAAAGCCTAAACATCTTTCTCAAATTTTATAAAGATGTATTGATTTTAAACATTTAAGATAGATTTTGATAGAGACAAATATTAAATTGAAGAAAACAGCAATATTTTAAGGGGCATTTAAATACATACCTCCAATATTTTAAGGGCATTTACATACATACCATATAATTCCTATATATTTACATATCTCACATCTTAACTTTGCTTCTTTACATTTATTCCATTTTAATCTTTAATATCACAGCAAAGGTACCATCATTTTAAGTTTTAAGAAGTGCATAATTTGGGTGGCATATATGTAAGTATTGTTGAGGTATAGATGTTGGATATGTAAGTGCTCTCAACATTCAGTGACATTGAAAATATCCTAGCTCAAAAACAATGGCTGAGAAATAGACCACGTGAAACATTGTTTAATTAAGATTATTGTGATGGCATGACTTTGTTGACCAAAAAGGTAGTCTTCCCCTGTCTTCTATTTGTTGTATTTATGATTTTTATTATAATTAGGAGTAATTTTATTTTTTGGCTTTATTTACTTGTATGTCTTAATTCTTCTCTATAAAATAAAAAAAAAAATTACATCCGGACGTCTGCATGTCCGGACTGCCACTCACAGGGCGCTATCACCCACAAATGAAATGCATGACGATTAGAGTTCCATGATTGGTCGTCTAGATGTGTGGTATCCAGATGCAATATTTTCTCTTACAAATGGGACTTACGGTTCATAAGAGAACCATGGTGAGGAGTGTAGAAGTTATAATCCATAGTTTTTTTTATCTCCCATTCGATGCTAGTGAAATATCCTTTTCTGTGGAAGTAGGTGAATCCATTCAATGTCAAACCACTTGAATCGTTTCTGTTTGATTCTTGTTGTGTAAATTTCTTTATTTTCGTATTGTTTTCACATAATAGTTGGTATCAGAGCTCCAGGTTCGTGATCAGAGCATGACTCGGCTTCGATAACAACAAATCCCGTGTGTTGCTGGTGGTTTTTGCAGCAGATTGTCTGACATGCTTTACCTACTGATTGAGGGTTCGACGGCAGGCTGACGGCTTGAACACGAAGATTCAGCGAGTGGTAGGAGGGATCGTGATAGCAGCTATAATACGGCGGTTTCGGCGGCGACATGAGGCAGTTCCAACAACTCCGACGACGGTTCTAGCGGCTCCGACAACGGATTTGGCGGAAGAAAGAAAAGTTTTAAAACATGAAAGAGGATATTCGATTCTGAAAATAAGAAAAAAAAGGAATTTTGGAAAGAGAATTTCGGAAAGAAAAAGAAAAAAAAAAGGAGAAAGTTTTTTTTTTTCAAAAACAAGCGAAGAAAAGGGAAATATTTTATTTTTTCAGTTGAACATTTTTTCTATTTATTTTTCTCCTTTCTTCTCAGGTTTCCAAACTAGGAGAAAATTTTTTTTTAGAAAATATTTTAATCTAATAGAAGAACATTGTTTTTCACATAGTCAGAGCAATAAGATATAACATGATGTTAAGTTCTTCAATATCCATTATGTAGGTAGAAAATTCTATTTATCAGGTCATTACACATCCGATCAAAATCGATAACGACAAATGGACTTTAGAATATGACGATGTGAGGTGATGAATGCGTTGCGTTATTTGAATCGGAGGAAGTCTTAGATGGTGATGAATGTCGTGAAGAGATGTCAGAGAGAAATTGTTCGAAGATTAACAATAATGTTTGTTACTTTATTTGAAATTGCTTTACGTAGGAGATCAAATAAGGCGTGATGATAGAGACTTATGCAGGAAAATTGTGGAGGATGCTGGAGAACAAATACCTCACGAAGAGCGTGGAGGACCCTCTCCATATGGAGCGTTGCCTCTACAGATTTCAAATGAGCTGGGGGTTATTATTGATGAACATTTGAATGACTTCACAAAGCTGTTAGCAAATCTTTTAAATTCAAATGAAGAGGTTGGAGAAGAAGACAAGTTGCTCCTTTAGTTAAATTCACTGCTGGATGACTACAAAAGCTTTATTATGATACTCATTCAATGAAAAGAGGTATTGAAGTATGACAAAGTGACTATAATGTTGTTGAATCATGAGTTTTGTCGAAGGAGCAAGGAGTTCACAAAGTTGTAGTTAGTTGAGGAACTTACACTCCAATGTGGCCGATCTGAGGAGAAGAAGAAGAATTTGATAAATAAAGGTGACAGCCACGACACTTCTTAAAAGCAAGGTAAGTCTTGTGGGTGCAGTCTTAGAAAAAATCAATATGCTTTATGTTTAAAGATTATTCATTGGAAAAAAGATTATCTGAAGCTAAAGAAGAAGAGAAAGGAAGTTGCATCTCAACCAAAATTTAATTTCTTTGTGGAAAGATATGAAGCAGTGAATTTAGATATATTCTTATATGCAGTTTCTCATAGTTTACTTACAGATCATTCATGTTGGATTCTAGACACAAGTGCTACCTATCACATTTGTCCTCATTGAGGGAGATTCTGGAGCTGGATATTGGTACAATGACTATGGACAAAGATCAAGCTTGTCTTATTATTAGTGTAGAAGTATCTTTATCAAGATGCATAATGATACTGTGAGGGAGCAAACCGATGTTAAACATCTTTCAGGTATCAGGAAGAACTTGTTATCAGTTGGGGCTTTAGAGTCCAAGGGCTACAAAGTAGATACTGAAGCAGGAGTCTTGAGGATATGTCGTAAATCACTGGATTTTATGCAGAGAGTTCACCATCACAACCTTTATTATTTTCATACCAGTGCAGTGATTGAAATTGTTGCTATTGTTGATGATTCTTCTGATGCCACTGCGTTGTGGCATATGTTTCTAGCTCATGCTGGAGAGGCTTCACTTCAGGCTTTGGTGAAACAAAGACCGATTAAAGAAGCAAACATCTACAAGCTTGATTTCTGTGAACATTATGCATTTGATAAGAAGACAAATATCTTTTGGGACCATCATCTGCCGCACAAAAAGGTATTTTAGAGTATGTTCACACAGATATTTGGGGCCCGACGAAGATAACATTATTCATCGAGCGAAGAAAAATTGTCTCTTTTATTGATGATTGCTCCAAGTATATTTGGGTATACACCATGAAGTGCAAAAGAGTGGTGCTGAAGATTTTCATAACTTGAAAGAATTAGACTGAGACTCAGATTGATAAAAAAATCCAGTGTATCAGAATAGACAAAGGAGTCTAATATGTATTAAATGAGTTCTTGCAAGAGTGTCAAAGAGCTGGGATAGAGCATCACTTCACTGTTCGAGAGACACCACAACAGAACGAGGTGGATTAGTCGATGAACCAGACTTTGGTTGGAGAAAGTTTGGTGTATGTTATCTAATGCTAGGTTGGCTAGAACTTCCTGGGCAAAAGTTTAGACTAAGTTTGCCACTTGGTGAGTTGTCTGCCTTTTGCAGCTATTGCGAAGAATAACCCAAAGAAGATGTGACCGGGACATCTTGGTAGGGATTATGAGAACATGAGTGTTTGTGTGTCTATCTTACTACGATATGCAGAATGATAAACTAGAACATGAGCAAAAAAGATAATCTTCATTGGCAAATTTCCTTCTGGCGTGAAGTAAAAGGCTTCAAGTTGTATTATCAGCCAGAAAGAAATGTTGTCATTAGTAGGGATGTTACATTCCATGAGGCAAGCTTGTTGAAAGATTGGGACTCAAAGCAGGTTCTATTGGGACCACATATATATAGTAATAGTTGGACTTTGATGCAACTTCATTTGTTTCACATAGTTCATCCACTCTGAATTAGATATATGATTCAGTTGTAGCTCAGGAAGTTGTTGATAATGCTTAGGGGAAAGTGGAAGAAGATGTTGAGGATGAGACTCATGCTTAGGATTCTATTGTAGGAGCAGAACCAGACATAAAAATGTCTCAAAACCAGCTTGATTGAGAGATCACATTGCATTTGTATTTTCAGTCACAAAGGCAGAAATTTCTTGTAACTATAAAGAAGCGTTGGAGGGTCCAGATTGTGATCTTTAGAGAGTGGCAATAAATGAAGTGATTGAGTCTCTTTGATGGTGCTTGGAGGTTTGTGAGACTTCCGTTGAGAAGGAAAGCCAACGGGTGCAAATGTGTGTATACAAAGAAAGAATAATCTCATTGAGCTAATGTACAGTAAGACAATATTAGTGGCAAAAGGCCCTGCGTAATGAGAAGTGATTGATTATGATGAGATTTTCTCCCCAGAGGTCAAGCATCCCTCAATTTACGCTCTCTTAACACTTGTAGCAAAGTAAGATTAGATCTTGGAGCAACTCGATGTAAATAACATATTCCCACACAAGAATTGCAAGAGGAGATCTACATGTTGCATCAGTCTAGACGTGGAGTATCAAAAGACTTGGTTTGCAAATTGGACAAGTCTTTGTATGGGTTGAAGCAGTCAATATGACAGTGATATAAAAAAATTGCTCAGTTCATGAGAGAATATGAGTACACGAGGAGCTAATCTTATCATTGTGCATATTTCAAGAAGTTGGCCAACTGTAAGTTTATTTACTTATATATATTGATGATATGTTGATTGTATCTCCTAGTTAGATTGATGTTGATAAAATGAAAAATCAACCATCCAAACATTTTGAAATTAAGGAGTTGGGTGAAGCCCGCAGAATTCTAGGTATAACAATTCTCAGAGATAAGACAACTGAAAAGGTTTGGCTTTTACAAGGAACTTATGTTCAGAAGGTGCTAAAGAAATTTGAGGTTGATAACTTGAGCAAGGAGGTGATTCTACTCATTGCATATCACTTTAAGTTGAGTTCAGATTCGTGTCCTAAAGATGATCACGAAAGAAAAGATATGTGATTGGTTCCTTATGTTTGTTCAGTGGACAATTTGATGTATAGTTTGTACTAGACCAGACATTACTCAAGCAGTTAGTTTTTTGAGTAGATTCATGCATAATCCAGAAGAAAAACATTGGCTTGCGGTGAAAAATATTCTAATTAAAAAGTATAGGTCATGTTAATTTGATGTAAATTTTCAAATTCTTCAAAATAAACATCAAATTTAAAATCAAACGCATCTTTCTAACAACTATCACATATAACATGTCTGGTGGGAAAACACAGCTTCCAACTATAACTTTTTGGGAAAGAAAAATTGCGGTGCGTCATCACAATGCCATCAAATTGAGCCCCAAACACTTATTTGAAAATCTTCATTGATCAATAAGCCATCACAAATCTAAACACCGAAAAAATAGAGTTGTCGTTCAGAGTAAAATATTATGTTCGGACGTTTGCATATTCGAAAGGGCAACAGCCGAACGCCACGTCGCCCGACGCCAACGTGTATAACAACGTGATGCCAGACAGTTGGCCATTCGGACGTGCGATGTCTGGACGTAAAATTTTCTTTGTTCAAAAAAATATTCGTTCGGCGGCCAAGCACTGCTACCCCAAACACTTAATTGAAGACCTTCATTGATCAATAAGCCATCACATATCAAAACATCGACAAAAATAGAGTTGTTGTTCAGAGTAAAATATATTACGTCTGGATGTCCGCACATAGTGCGCCGACATATATGGCGACGTGGCGCCCGGTAGTTGGCTATCCGAACATGTGGCGTCTGGACATAAAATTTTCTCCATTCGAAAAAAATATTATATCCTGACGTCAGCACATTCGGACGGCCAACCGCACTGCCGCCCCCAAACACTTTATTGAAGATTTTCATTGATCAATAAGCCATCAGAGATCAAAACACCGATCAAAATAGACTGTTCGTTCACATGTTTACCAAGTCTTCTCTCGGCAAGTCGTCGCTAGAATTAGTCTCGAACGCCATTACCTACTCCTCCAGATTTGGAGGCATCGCCAACGTTGACATTAATCAAATTAATAAATCAAAATCCCGATCGCTTTATGCAACTTGCAACATAAAATCAGCCGCAGAATTCTACTATTCGATCAAAGAAATTTCTTTTTCGGTTCAATGAAACAATTTCTGTTTCCGAACATTTGAAAAACAAGATTTCTTCCATAAATTTGAGAAAAATTCTTGAAAAAAATGAGTCAATAAATCTTACTAAATTGGGAGAATTTATACTCAAACCAATGCGTTAAATAAAATTAGCTAATTTTTTTTTTGTGATATTACAATCAAAATGCAACAGCCAATCGGATATAAAACCAAGAGTTACCACGGGCTGCAGAACTGCGAGCAGCAAAGAAGCCGGCCGATGAACCCTAAACAGCGTTGAAGAGGCCGAAGGGCGTCTTTGAACGCAGCTAAAAATCTCCGATGAGGCCGCTGGTTTCGAATGGGCGATGGAGTCATCTGGAGATAAGCGTAGGCCGCCTGCTTCACGAGAGGGTTCCGAATCCGGATCTCAAAACCCGCTGCCGTTGGTGACGCGTAGCGGCTCGGCGGGGAGGAAAGGATGAGCTCCCGAAGACTCGTGTAGACGAAGGTCGCGCGTGCGTCAGTAGCGGCGGAGGGGGGCGAAGGGCTGGGAATAGGTGGCCATGATCGGTGGCGGAGCTCAACGTCTCTGTCGGGAGTGGTAGGGAGGAAGTACCTGCGGCGGAGGGTTGACATGGATCAACTCCAGGGAGGGAAAAGGGATGCTTGGATTGACGGAATTGAGGGGAGGGGAGATATTGATGAGTATCAGTAGAAGTGGAATCGGAGAAGAAAACCTAATGACGGAGAGAAGATGAGTGTGAATGCGGCGGAGATGGAGACCGGAAGGCGGTCTGGCATCGTCCCACCTTTCTCCCTCTGTCTGCGCTTCTCACCAAAGCGCGTTATATATTCTTATTATTGGTGATTGAGCGGTCCAAATACCACCATCTTAAAAATAACCTAAAACGGTTTTATAAGCCGAAGATTTTACCTTTTAAAATTTAAAATTCAACCTAAAATAACATTGTATTTAAAATTTAACAATTATTCATTTTACGCTGCATCACCGTTATAGCAAACCAAATAAGTCTTAAAAAAACAAATTATGCATTTAGAATAAGTTGTGTAATGGGAGAGAATATTACACGTGGAGTCCTGATACATCCAGACTTTATATATGATTATATTTTACATATTGTACAATAATTTGTACAAGTATAACATCATTGTAAATGAAGTTCATATACATCCAAACTAAGTGACGTGGAGCTAGGGCCAGTTGGTTCAGCCGGCTGGCAAGGGAACCAGTTCTACCAAATTCTTAGGTGACCGGGCGGAATAACAAAGAGGCAAGACTGTCGCTCTCCTCTTCGATTTCTTCCCTTTCGTGACTCTTACCTGGAGCGAGCGACACTTTGGAGGAGCATCAATGTCGTTAACCCTTCTCCTCCTTATTCTATTTTTTTCCTGTTTGGAGTCTATTTATATGCTTGTTAGTGAGAGTTAGGATTGGTTTAGCCATGTTTGCTTTCAGATTTTTTGTATGGACTTCTTTTCTTTTTTGTAAGACCGTGTTCGAGGAGGTGGTAGTGCTCTGATTGTATCATACTTCGAGGTGATGATGTATCTTCCTTTTTTATTTTTCCCAGCCCTTCTCCTCCACTCCCCTTAACCGCCTGCACTCCAATCCTCCTCCAACACCCTACTGCTCGCCCCCAACACCCTCCCGCCCTTGTCCTGCAACACACCAATGTTGTTTAACCGACCCACTAATCTCCCCCTTACAATAGTTCTCCCTTGTTATCAGACCTATACCACCATCACCCACCCCCTTCTCAGCAGTTTTCTCTGACATCCCACTCTTCCAACCACCAAACCTATCTTTAACCACCCCTTCTTTTCTTGTAACGTCGAGACGCTCGACGGTGTAATCCTCAAATTTAATAAAATCCTCTGCAGCTCAGTGGACGTAGGCAATTTGCCGAACCACGTAAATCTTGTGTCGTTTTTTTCTAGATCTATTTTTCGCTTTATTGCCATCATTTTTTTCATAACAATTGGTATCAGAGCCCCGGTTCAGATTTGAGGAAGAACGATGGTCGGAGACGAAGTGAAGGTTTCAGGGATCGAGAAGTTCGACGGCACGGATTTTGGATACTAGAGGATGCAGATAGAGGATTACCTCTATGGGAAGAAACTTCATCTTCCACTACTGGGAAAGCGACCTGAGAAGATGGAAGAGGCTGATTGGAATCTGTTGGATCGACAGGTTCTGGGGGTTATTCGATTAACCCTATCGAGGTCCGTTGCTCATAATTTCATAAAGGAGAGGACGACGGCAGATCTTATGACGGCTTTATCAAGTATGTATGAAAAGCCATCTGCGAATAACAAGGTGCACTTGATGAAAAAGTTATTCAACCTGAAAATGGCGGAAGGTGTGTCGGTTGTTCAACATTTGAATGATTTCAACACTATTACAAATCAACTATCGTCCGTTGAAATTGATTTTGACGATGAGATTCGTGCACTGATATTGTTGGCCTCATTGCCAAATAGCTGGGAAGCCATGAGGATGGCAGTTAGCAACTCTGCAGGTAAAACCAAACTTAAATATGATGATATTCGTGACTTAATTCTTGCTGAAGAGGTGCGCAGGAAAGATTCTGGCGAGATCTCAGGTTCGAGTTCAGCACTGAATGTTGATTCCAGAGGGAGATCACAAGACAGGAACGCAAACAGAGGAAGGTCGAAATCAAAGCATAGAAGCAAGAGCAAGTCAAAGCCTGGGCATCAAGCAACCTGCTGGAATTGTCGCAAAACTGGCCACATAAAGAAGAACTGTAAAAATCTTAAAAAGATGGAGAACGTCAGTGCTAACGCTGTAACTGAAGAAGTGCAGGATGCGTTATTGCTTACAGTTCATAACTCTGTTGACGACTGGATACTGGACTCGGGGGCTTCTTTTCACACATCTTCTCACCGAGAATTAATGAGAAACTATGTTTCAGGTGACTTTGGGAAAGTGTACTTGGCTGATGGAGCAGCTTTGAACGTGGTCGGAACGTAGAGGGAATGGGAGATGTTGAAATTGCACTCCCTAACAGAAACAAATGGATCCTGCAAAAGGTTATACATATTCCTGAACTGAAAAAGAACCTCATATTTGTTGGGCAGCTTGATGAGGGAGGTCATTCAGTAGTGTTCTCTGATAACACCTGGAAAATTACTAAAGGAGCACTGGTACTAGCTCGGGGTAAGAAGACTGGTACGCTATATATGACAACTGGTCTAATTA